AAATAATTTTTGTACCTTTTTTGGGTTAATTAAGACAAAAACCATTACGTTTTATATTATGGGAGTAATAAATATATATTTTATTGTACCATATAATAGTTATTATTAAAGTTAATAATTACATTTTACATTAAATGATATATGAAAGTTATATAAACATAAAAAATTATATTGTAAAAACGTTATGCTCAAGGTATTTATTCTAAAATCGATTTTATATTTTTAATCTGATTAAGCGATTGTTTTTTCAATGAATCAATTTTCTTTAATGTCATAGTAAAATCTTTAAAATCACATAAGAAATTTTTATTATAAATTTAATATTTTTTAGCAAATTAATTGTACATGGTCCCTGAAAATTAAAAAAATACAAAAATTACATTATAACATAATAATAATAAACTCTAATTTATAAGATAATAATAAACTCTAATTTATAAGATAATCCATTCTAATCCATAAAATAACAATTTCTAAGTTATAACAAAATAATAATTTTTTATTTTTAAGATAATCAATTCTAATCTTGTAAGATAATAATTTCTAAGTTTTAATATTACAGTAATAAATTTAATTTATAAGATAATCAATTTTAAGTTATAATATAGTAATTATAAATTCTAATCTATAACATAATAAATTCTAATATATTACACAATACTTTTTTTCATAAATAAAATTAACTAAATCAAAATAAAAAATAAAAACGAAAGCGGCTGCACAGCCGTTCAAGATAGGGCGTCGATGGGCATGGCCGGCCGCAGATTGCGGCCGCCGGTGGCCACGTCCTATCTTGCCGGCCGGTCGGGTCGGGGCCAAGCGCGGCCGCAATCGCCAGTCAGATGGACAGAGATGCGGCCAGTTTCGCCGTTCGGCCGGCTGGAAAACTCACCTCGTCAGACAAAATTTTCTCGCCAGAAATCGCCTGGTAGAGAGAATTTTCCAGTTTTTTGTGGTTATTGAAAAAATTACAGGGGAAAAATAGTCCAGGGAGGACATCCAATTATCTAAAGAGAAAGAATTGACAAATAAAATTTTAGGAAATATAAATTGTTAAATAAAATCACATTGCTTCAAAATTGGTTGTAAGAAATACAATTTAATCTTCCATATAATAGGAAGGGAGTGATATCATTTTCTGATTAGAATTTTTATGTTTAGAAATCAAAAACCTTTTCTCCATCAATAATTTTTAAATATATTAGATATATTTTGGTAAAGAGATAATCACATGTTAATTTTTTTAACTAACCACATGATAAGGAAGAAATTATAATCTATGTTTATTTTCATATGATATTTAAAAATTTGGAAATTCACATTATTTCAAAATTTTCAAATTTAGCAAAAGTGTTTTTTTAGGCGAGAATTCTATTGCTATTTAAGGTAAATTATTTGTTTATTTTTTTGTGTATTAATAGATCAATTATCAGCAGTCTTGTCAACAGGATTACTAGGAAAATTTACTTTAATTGACGAATAATAATTATATTATTTATCCAATTATAATATTTATAATTAAATTGTTATTAATATATATATAGAGAGAGAGAGATAGAGAGAGAGAGAGAGGGAGAGAGAGAGAGTGAGAGTTTGGCTCACATGAGAATGATGCTTAGTGAAAGAAATTAGAATATATTGTGGCCATAGGATCGAATGATCTAACGGCTAAAAAAATTCACATGTTGATACTCGTTAAGGGTAATATTGATATTTTACACATCCTCATTCACCACAATATATTATAAGTGGGCCCCACATCATAACTCTACCAAATTCATCCAAAATTATAGGTGTGGGCCCCATATACTAATTAACCAACACACAGAGCAATCTATCTCTCGATCCCCGTCCACATTCTCTCGCCGGCGAACAACAGCCGCCGACAGATACGACACCAGATTGACGGCCAACTCCGCCGATGGACTCGACACCGGATGTCGCACGTTGCTGCTAGACGCCGCAATTTCCTCCATAAGCGACAGCGTCGGAATTTGCAGTTTTGAGGTTTCAACCCTGCCGCCTCCGAACTCGCCTCCATCGGCATCGATGTCAGGTTTCAGGCCGACGCCGTCGAGATCAATTCTGTGTTCACTGGCGTATGCGAGCTTGTCCGGTGGTTCCAGTTCCGATCGCCCTTTGCAACCCCCTATATCCATCACGAATTTGAGTTCAATGTCTCATGGTCATGTCTGTCTAGGCGGTGTTTGACTGGTCGATGGGGACATCAGGCGGTGGACGGTTGCCGCCGAAGGGATTTGTGGCGCTGTGTGGTTTTGATTCAATAAATGGGCATTAATTTGAGAATTAGACATTATCAAGGGACTTAATTTAAATTTATGGAATTTTATTAAATTTCAATTTAATACATGGGTCAAATTTATAATTAGTAAAAAATATATTAAACGTTCAATAATGATAAAGACTTTTAATAATATAGCCTAATAAATGCACATTATAACCGAGATTTAAAAATTAAAAAAATATTTAATTGAAATGAAATATAAAATTTTAAACTGAAAAATTCAGTTTCATCGGTTCGGCTATTTTAAAAATTAAAATCGACATCGAAATATATAATTCGAATCGACAAATTTAGTTCGGCCAATTTTCAATTTAAAGTGCAATCTGACAGTCAATAATGTATAACTCATCGAACACTAATGTGCACTCGAAGTGCAATTATTTTTTAAATGATTTATCTCAAACCAAAATAATTTATTTGTCCAGTTAACCGAATAAATCCAATTATTAAAAATAATTTATATTATAAAAATATATTTAGTATTCCAATACTTTTCGTTTTCTCCAAACTTGAACCACACGACATTTTTTTTTTCATTCCTAGATGATTTCAAGGTCCTCCAAAGTAGGTGGTGGGATTATTTGAGACGACAATTTCATGTCGGGAATGTGTGCACTAATGTGCGGAAGGAAGATTCCAAAAATATATCTTGATGTGCATCATCTAGCTCCTCAAATACATGATTCACAACCTTGAGGTAGCACCTATTGGTCACGACTCCTGAGCATGTAGAAGATATATCAAACGTATACTCCATTTTGGTTCCTAAAAGCAAAGAAGAAAGACAACATATGTCATAAAACGATAATTATGTAGTACAAAATTCAAATCCAATGGTTGTGTAACAATAAAAAGAAATTATAAATTAGTAATATGTTACATCAATCACATGCGCATTATTAAGAAATTAAGAAGTACAAACACACGTTATATTTTGAAACTAAGAAGTACAACATCCGTTACATCAATCACATGCACATTCGTCATTTCATACACCATAACGAATGTACATTCGTTATGGTTATTTTTTGATCGAATACAACTATAACGATTCTATCTTCATTATGTAATGCATTATAAAGATATTAATCTCGTTATAGGTATATTTTTAGTCATTTTAATGTAAACTTTACCAGTATAACGATTTATCATTATCTATCCATTTCTAATAAGAAAACAAGTATCGTTATTTCACAAAATGAGTTTCGTTATGAGTATTTCAACGCTATAACCAGTTTAAACTATCGTCCTAATGTCAAATATAACGAAGATAGAATCGTTAACACGTCATTCACAAAATAACCATAACGAGATTACATTCGTTATGATTTTCAACATAATGAATGTACATTCGTTATTTCATACATCATAGCGATTGTACATTTGTTATGGTTATATTTCCATCTCGGTAGATTAAATACACCTATACCTCCGCTATATAATATATTATAACAATATTGTACTCGTTATAGTTATAATTGAAGTCATTTTTAATGGATCCTATCAATTTCTAAAAAGAAACAAGTATCATTATCTCATAAAATGAATTTTGTTATAACGAGTGTGCATTCGTTCTAGTGTAATATATAACGAAGATAGATTGATTTGTTCCAACTATACAACAAGTAGCATAGTCAACATTTCATCAAACACATAGAGTGCACCAATTACTATCTTTAGTTCATTAAATAAATCCTACAAGCATTTTATCAAACACATAGAGTGCACCAATTACTATCTTCAATTCCATTTAAACTAGCAAAATCAGATGAATTCACATAACACAATCAAATCTTGCTTCAAGAATATTAAACGCTCAAAAACAGGGAAATTAAATAAAAGAACAAATTGAAAAAAATCGAACAAATACGTATCGAAATTGACGAGAGAGAGTTTCATAGTGATCGAACGGAAGGAAAAAGAGAGAGCGCCGGTGATTTCGAGCGGGAATTTTCGCGTACCGAAATCGGACAGAAGGAAGAAGAGAGAACGCTGGTGATTTCGAGCGGGAATTTTCGCGTGTAAGAAAGGAAGAAAAAAAGAAATTCTCGCTTGGAAGGAAGGAAAAATGAGGTAAGGGGTATATCTTTTTGTTAAGGGCATATTAGTAAATTCTTATTTAATATGATAACTTATTAAGTTTTATTATAAAAAATTAGTCAAGAGTCATTTCCATAATATGTTATCTGCATAAGGTCATGCGGACCAATTTCCACGTGTTGGTCCCTCATCTGCCATGCTCTTGATCTTTGTGGGTTGAATTGCGAGTGTAATCAGTTGATTACTAAGTGGGTGTTTGTTTATTAGAAGGGTTGAACTACGAGTGTAATCAATTGATTACTAAGTGGGTGATTGTTTATAGTTTCTAATAGTAAAAAAATCAATCAAAATTTAAATTTAACTCAACTTTAACTCAATTTCATTATCCTCAATATTATCAATATAATTAAATAATATCAGCTAATTATTTTTACATATCACATCAATTTTAATTCACTATTCATACACTCTCATAATTTTAACTACGCATCACTTCCAATCATTTTTCTCATACTTTACATCAAATCAACTTTAATTTTTTTATTTAAATATTATTTTAATACATCTACTAACAACTAACCATACCACTTTTTTAAAAGTTAACTATAGTTAAAAACAAACCAAATAAAAACTAGTTGAATTCATAAACAATCACACCCTAACTTTTGTGTATTTTATTCTTGAGTTAATCAAATTGGTTGTTTGCTATTTGTTGAAAAACAAAATGGCACTAAGGCTTATAATATTCGCTTTTATTTATATACTAGTACAACACTCGTGTATTACACGCGTGCTTGTTAAAAAATTATTCTTAAATTTTAAAATTAATGAGAAAACTATATTAAATTTAGTTTACTTTTTTACAAAAAAAAATATATTACTATATATTCTAGAATGATATGTGTTACTTATGACTTACATGTGCTACATTATATTGTTTTTATAAATATAAATATATTAGTTGATAAATAATTTATTTTTCTAATTAATATTAAAAATATTTTTTTATTGTTATAAAGATAAATATATATTTTTTTATACATACAATATGAATGTTAAATCGAAGCTCATCAAAAGAAGATTAATTTGATATATTACATATGTAAAACTGATAAAAAATACAAAAGTTATTAACTTTTAAAATATATATGCAATTCAATAGTTATAATAAGGAATGATATTAAAATGTAATTAATACATGTAACATGACCATAAATAATCAACATATTTACTGTAATCCAAACCTAATTATTTTTAGTTTGGAATTAAATTAAAAATTACTCAAGCCTAATAACGAAGCATGTAATTTTGCCACATAAAATTCCGAAGCACCAGAAACAGCCACGTAGGCTCAGCGCATTCTGGATTAATATATTATTTATATATACTGATGGTTTATCCACCAAACCAAACATGCGGAAAGCCCGAAACAGAGACCTATTCTTCTTGTTCATCAAAGCTTGAGGTACACTTGAATAAAAAGGATTGCCACTATCCATGTGCTATGTCGATTACATCAATACATAGGACGGGAAAGTAAACAAAAGTAGAGTAGCAGGATGAGAAACATCACATCTGAGTGGCCATCCGAGCATACAAATTAGTAGGCAGATCGTGCGACGCCTTTTTCTGCCGTTACCCTAATTACTTGACTTTTAATAACTACCCTTCCTCGTCATAATCCTCATCATCCTCACCCAGCTTTGAGCCGAGCTGCGGGAGATGAAAGGGGTCTATAGCCATCCTATCCATTTCGGTAATCTCATCAGCAGCCGTTATTTTAGAATTTTCATCTGCGGCGTTTGAATTGAATTTACTCGACTCGGCCCTACCATCCATATCTTTGTTGCTCTCGTCCTTGGTTTCTGAGGGGATGATATTATTACTATTTTCCATTGAACAAGGGATTGGGATTTGTTTGATGCTCTGGAGAATGGGAGTCGAGCCAATGGGATCAACCACTTCTCGGTGGAGCTCACTCACTCTGCTCGCACGTCCCCGTCCTCTTCCCCTGCCCCTTCCTCTTCCTCTTCCGCTGCTGCTTGTGTGGCATGTTTCCTGATACATAAACGTGCAATCTCAATACATATATTGGGCCAATTTTTAGTTTTGATTATGTATATTTACTTATTTTTTTAATTTCTTCATTTTACGTGGAAGAGTTTACCATGCTGTTCCTTTTCAACTCTTCATCACTGTCATTGGTTTCATTGGCGACTATTTTCCTGGCAAAATAAATATTGAAATTTAATTGGTCATCTTCCGAAACTAAATGAGGTAAAGAAGGCAGAAAAAGAATACCTTCTCTTCGTGATGTCAGCTGTGGTATCAGAGTGACCATAGTCTGGAACTTTGCTCACAACTTCCTTAAGAAAGTCAAACACGTTATAACTATGTACACAATGTTTCCTGCATACAATACAAGGACAGAATCTTAGAAGCGGCAACAGTAATGAGCACAATATTCATAGCTACAGAAGGGCATTTCCCATGTTGGCAACAGATGGCATGACCTATAAACTTTGTAACTATTCACCATGACAGATGGGCCAGCCACAGAAACATACAACAATTTTTCCTGACCCTGACTGAATAAAACCCTAAAGTTTATACCTAATGCACAAACCACGAAAACTAGGTGGTCTGAACTCCATCAATCAAACATACTTAAATCCACACATTACAATTCTACACCTGATTAAGAAAAATTCTAATCAAATACTTAAATCCACACATTGCAAGCCAGATCTTCAGCTTAGTAAAGGCTTACCCCATAAAATCTCAAAATAGCATCAATGGGGAAGTAAGCTCTAAGATACACATCAAAGTATCGACGAAATTATTATGAGATTATTAGAAGAGAATGGAAGAAGCTCTCTGAGAAGGATAAGGCCCAAGGAAATTGGATGAGGGAAATGATAACCGATAGCAAAATTAACTGAAGTAGAAGTTCAGTAAAATGATTGCAACATTTGCTTGAAACAATTTTAGTAATATATAAAATTCTTCAGAAGGTGGACCACGACATTCATTGAGAAAGATACAATTTAAAAGCATAGAAAGTACAAGTTTAATAAGTGTCACACATAAAAGTAGGTTTTCCTCATATTATTTCCATCTGACTAAGATTCTTTGATGTTGTAATTTTATCTTCATCTTTTTTTTTTTTCTCGTGTAGGTCCTCACATTATAAAATACTAATTGCAATACAAATTATGAAATCTACAAAATACTAAATGAAGCATGAATGCTGCAAACAAGATTTATTACAAGCTGAAAATGCATTTAAAATTACTAGATTACAGGTCAAACTGTGCTATAATTCCTCCAGAGATTTAGTACTAGCAGACAATAGAACATAAGGCCATGATGGTTATCACTTAAAATGAATAACTGAGATATAAAGATTAAGCCGACAAAGTTCTTTCTACTCACAGATGCAGTGAATTAACGGTCTTTGCCCCTCTTTGCACAGTTATGTCATATGTACGATCACAAAGATCTTGGAGAAATAATTCCAAAGCTTTAGCTGCATTAATATGTCAGAAAAGAACAATTAAGCTTCTATAACAAAAACTAAAACCACAAGCCCGGCAGCTAACTAATATTTACATACACACTAGAACTGGCACTGCCATTGCAATCTTCCCAACATCTTCATCAGCTTGCATGATCTTCTTAATGCGAGCCTAAGAAAAACACATCTGTGTAAACCCTTTTTATAGAAAAACCAGGGATTTAGTTGTCATAAGAAGAGATAAGTGAGAACAACACTTGTCAAACATAATGATTTACAGTAAAATGTCACCATGAATTAATGTAGAATACAATGTCAATAAGCTGTCATGACATTTGGTGTTCCAAATCACAATATCACTTATCCGTAAGAAAAGTTTAAGCCGAATCAGTCATAATTCTCTTTCTCGGGAAAGAAAATGGGATGTACTTGGTGATTAGAAATAAATGAAAATTAGTATCTAGTTTAGACACACACATATTTAGCTTAGAACATTTCTCTAGTAAAACAAAACTGGAATTATTTGTAGGAAATCTCTACATCCCTAGAGTGATTTAGGCTGGCTAGAACTACGAGAATTGAACATCAACTACTGTGTTTCATCTTGGAGTCTAGTGAGGTAGCACTAAACAAGAATAATACTTAGAAATTCAACATCTAAAACGTTTACTCCAAATTCAAGACTGTATAATTCGTTTTGTAGACACTTCAGTTTTCCTCACCCAATAACATAGTTGCCTTATCCCATGTGCCCTTGTATGTTACAAATGGTATTGTTATTCAACTAAGTATATCTTGTGTTATAAAATCAACTGTACTCCTATTAGCTACAGCGAATATATTTAAACAATATTGTCAATACTAGGAAAACAAAATCACCAGAAACCAATAATTTATCTTTGAAATCATAACTTCTGTTTTTTAACATATGCCTGCACATTTTCATCTACATGTACTTTAATCACACCCATAAATGATTCCCTATAAGCGGAACTGAAACAAAACAACATACTCATGACCCGAAAAGATAGGCTTAAAGTTATTCCACGGTTAATGAGAAGTTTAGTTAACCGCACTCACAATTGTGTTTGTACTCATTTCCTCGGATGCTTTATTTTCAATAAAAATGTGGACTATCTATTTGTGATGGAGGGAGCAATAAACTTCAAAGAGATATAGACACTGGCGCTATATGAAAACCAAATAAATTCAACGTAACAACGAGCAAACTTTCAGGCTGTAGTTGTGATGAAAATTTCACATCCCTAGTCACTGTGAAGAAATTCTCAGTTAAATGAGCTTGATGCTAAGTTGTCAAACTTAAAAACTGATTTACTGCCCTCACTCTTTTACATGGAAAAGTTCAAATAGAAAGGGATCAAAGCAACACCATGAGAGAAGCAAATTGCAACCAGCAGTTAATTAATAAAACATAACATAAACCTTGAAACGATGAAGAGATTTTTACAAAATAATAAATAAAAAAATATAATTCGAGATCATTATGAATTCACGTATCCAATTGTCAAATAAAAGAGAAGTAACTAAGAAGGGAGTGAAGCTTACAGCGGGAAAGCGAGTATCAAGCTTCTTCCTCATGGCGCAATCAGAATTAAGTCGTCGTACACAGCCACAACAAACAAATAAGAAAATCCCACTAACTAGTCTAATTTTTTACGGAGAACCATTATGTGAAGAAAAAGTAGTCCAAGAGAAATAAACGAGGAAAAACAGAAGAAGAAAGATAATAGGGAGAGAGAGAGAGAGAGAGCTAAAAGAGTTACAGAAGAAAGGGTTGATCTGATGATTAGGAGAGTACGGAAGGAGGGAGAAACAGATTCTGTAACTCAGATCCAAACATGGACGGATGGATACTTCACAGAAATGCGAATTTCTTTCGAGGAGCTTGACAAACGAAGGAGATGGAACTAACATAAAATTGGGTGCACAAGCACGGCAGCACGACGTACTCCCGATGGCTTTTTCCTCGTTTCATATATTTTTTTTTTGGGTTAATTGCTAAATAAACCTTAGGGCATGCTTGTTTATGGATTTTTTCAATCCAATTTTTTCAACTCAAATATTTAACTCAACTTTAACTCAACCCCACTATCTTTAATATTATTCATACAATTAAATAATAAAAACCAATCATTCTTACACATCACATCAACTTTAATTCACTATTCATCCACTCACATAATTTTAACTACCAATCATTTCCAATCATTTATCTCATACTTTTTATCAAATCAACTTTAATCATTTTTATTTTAAATATTATTTTAATATATTTTTTTAAATTCCACTAACAATTAACCACATTACTTTTTCAACTTTAACTATAGTTAACAAAATGAAATATTTTGGTTGAAAAAATCCATAAACAAGCGCCCCCTTAACCTTTTTGCGTTTGACAATTTTATCTCAATCTTTGGGTAATTGCAATATAATCTCAACCTCAATTTACTTATTGCAAGTCGAACCTAAAACCGGTTGGACCTTAAAAAAACTGGTCGATTTGAAGGCGGTTCGAACAGATCGGAGCTCATATTTACTGGTTGACTCCAGATCTAAGAGGAGACTCATCACCGGTAGCTTACATTGACGTGAAATTTTTGGCTTTGTGCGTGGATATACATTAAATACGTGGAAATTGTCAACTTACTACGTGGATGACATAAAAACCCGTGTCAATGGAAAAATTGGATAGAAAATCGATCCACAAATCCTTAAAATCAATCACTCTGCACCCAAGTTTGCAATAAGTAAATTGAAGTCGAGATTATATTGCAATTACCCAAAGATTTGGATAAAATTGCCAAACGCGAAAAAGTTGAGGTTTATTTTACAATTAACCCTTTTTTTTTTTTGTCACCCTCATTATAAATCTATTTTTTCTTTTATACACTGTCCCCATCAAATAACTTCTTTTACATTCAAAACTCACGAAATGCAATGCGATATTACACTCGCATGTCCAAATGAACTAGTGCATATTCAATCGACCGCATAATTTATGACAATGAGTAAACATTTTGCATTGTTTTAAGGATTAATTGCTAAATAAACTTTAACCTTTTTGCGTTTGACAATTTTATCTCAATCTTTGGGTAATTGCAATATAATCTCGACCTCAATTTACGTATTGCAAGTCGAACCCAAAACCAGTTGGACCTTCAAAAAACTGGTCGATTTGAAGGCGGTTCGAACAGATCGGAGCTCATATTTACCAGTTCACTCTAAATCTAGAACGAGACTTATCACCGGTAGCTTACATTGACGTGGAATTTTCGGCTTTGTGTGTGGATATACATTAAATACGTGAAAATTGTCGACTTGCTACGTGGATGACATAAAGCCCGTGTCAATGGTAGACTTGGACACAAAATCGATCCACAAATCCCTAAAATCAATCACTCAACACCCAAATTTGCAATAAGTAAATTGAGGTCGAGATTATATTGCAATTACCCAAAGATTGGGATAAAATTGCCAAACGCAAAAAGGTTAAAGTTTATTAAGCAATTAACCCTTGTTTTAATCGCATATTCACATCAAACGCATAATTTAGTAATGTACGAACATCTTTCGCATTTTTAATAATCGCATATACAAATCGATTGCAGCATAATTTACGATGATTATGCGCCTTCTTATCGCATGGCTATATCAACCTAGCAAATTTATGACTGAGAAAATATTTCGCATCTAATTCGCATAGTTTGTTGAATACGCATTTTTTTGGTAATTGCATATCCAAGTCAATCGCATAATTTACTAATATGCGAAACAATTTCGCATATATCCTCCGGATAATTGACAATTATGTGAAATTTTTTTGCTCGCATATTTAAGAATCGCATAACCAAATCGAATAAAGCATATTTTTTTTTACGATTATGCGCCATTTTTTCGCAGGGCCATATCGACCTGGCAATTTTATGACTATTCGGAATTCGTTCACAGATTATTCGCATGAGTTGCGCACCTCATTAATTGACTGCTTTTTCACAGGTGAGGATTTGGTCTCTGCATTTATCATGCAGGCAAAAAAACACCGATCTCTAACAATTTAACGCCTGCACCATTCATCTACTGCATTTTTCTGTTTCTTTTTTTAGTTCTTTTTGTTTGTTCACTTATTTGAATGACTAGCAACCGTGTTAGAGTATTGGTGCACTTTGGTGGTTCGTTTTGCGAGGGTTCATATCTTGGTGGAGTGGCAGAGCTGATGAGAATAAATTACGGCCGACAAATGTATTCTGAAGTAGTTTCTCGTGTTCAAGCCTTATTGAAGGCCAATCCTTGTAATTTTGAGTACATATTGTGGGCAGTATTTGATGGAAGGGAACGAGTTGTGAAGATGAAAATCGAATCCAGTGAGGATATCTTAGAGCTGCTTGACGAACAAAGAAATCCCAACATTTACGTGGAGTTGGAGAAGCGAGTAAATGTAGGGATTCCGGGGACGGCGCAACAAAGCTTCACGCAAATGATGGCGTCCCAAGGTGTATTTCCGAGTTCTTTTGGTGTTGGTAGTTCTGTATTTTCCCACAAGGCCCCATATTCACATCAAGCAGGCCCTAGTTCATTTACACATACTGGATATCTTCGGAGCGCTGATGATCAAACCTCGGGTTGTTCGAACCAACCAGGTCATTCTCGTGACGATGACAATAATGATGACCAAACCAACACGCACAATGGTGACTCAGGCGACGAAGACAAAGAGGTCAATGAGAAGAAAATGTTCGTAATCTAGGTACAATTATCGAAATCGGAATTGGGTTGACCTGCACACATCACACATGTCCCATAATAATCGCACAATTGAGTTGATTGCGCGTTTCGCATAACATGTCGCATAATAATCACACAATTAGGTTGATTGTGCGATTCGCATAACATGTAACATAATAATCGCACAATTGGGTTGATTGTGCGATTCCCATATCATATTCCATAATAATCGCACAACTGGGATGATTCGCCTAGTCTTCAACCGCATAATTAACGAATCGTATATCCAAATCGAAAGCTGCATAATATACGACTATCTGCCATTTTTTTCGCATATCCATATGGACCGCATTGATTGATAGTCTGCACCGCATATCAAAATCGAAAGTGCTTCGCATATTATTCGCATACGTTACGCACCGCATTGATTGATTGTCTGCACCGCATATCCAAATCGAAAGTGCTTCGCATATTATTCGCATACATTACGCACCACATTGATTGATTGTCTGCACCGCATATCCAAATCGAAAGTGCTTCGCATATTATTCGCATAAGTTACGCACTGCATTGATTGATTGTTTGCTTTTACACCTAAAAAACAATGACGATTTGCATGCTTCCTCATTTAGTTTTTGATTTGATGTATATCTACCTAGCATTAAATGCTAAATGTATTCATTAACCTTTTCATTCTCTTTGTGAAGAGGTGACCTTTCACTTCTCAAAACCCTATCTTTCCATCACAGCCAAAAAAACAAAAAATAAAAAAATAAAAAAATAAGGGCGCACGTTTGCGAAAAAAAAATGGAAAGGATCTCACCCTATGAAAAGATCGCGATCCGCTTCCGTGGCATGGACTGGACAGAGGAGGAGGAACGTATTTGCTACCAAGTGTTTTTCAAATGGTGTCGTCAGAAGGCAGACAAACACAAAGGCCATGTGTTCAATTCATTGTGGGCAGAAATTTCAATAGTCTTGAACCAATGCCTGAGTTATGCATTTAAGAGGGAGTTTACTATTTCTTAAGTCTGGCGAAAGATTCAGCGACTCAGAAATTATTTCGATGAATTTACTGCTTTCCTGATGATTCCAGGCGTCCTCTTGTGTCGTGATACAGGCTTTGCTAGGGTTAACCACATGTACTGGGTGTATGTGGGGGAGGAGGTAAATTGCATCTGATTTTTTATTTTAGTTTGTTCAAGCATGCATTTTTGTGACGCGGCCATAATAACCTAAAAAGATTTAAATTTATTACACAGGAGACCGACACTCAGGCATTTTTCCGTTCGGAAGGATTCCCTTGGTATGGTGAGTGTTACGAGGTTTTTACCGAGCGCAACGCAGCGGCGATAGACTTGGAAGTCATCGATCTCGACCCTTAGAATCCACTGGACATGTAATCAAAAGTTGTTTGGCTTATTATGTTGGACTGACTGCAGTAATAATAAGTATTTTTTTCTTCTGTCAAGTACATGTTTGTTTAATCATGATTCATATGTCAAAACAAAACAATATGTTGCATGGACAATTAAACTATTAATGTCCGTGAACAGAGTTTTCCGCAAAATCAGCGACAATATTCGAAGGGAAGATATTATTGAAAGGAAATTCGCAGAACTGTGAACAAAGCGCGATGATCGCATTGTTCTCGCATAATGTAATGAAAAAAAATAAATAAAAGTAATTTATGTTTTTAATCGCATATCCAGGCCAGATCAACCGCATCATCATTTAGGATATGTGGAAAACTGTCGCGTAATTAGATTATCGCATATCCAAACTGCATCATTTATGAGTATGCGACTATGCGGCATATGTTCGCATAATTTACAATTCACATATCCAAATCTATA